TTGGCTCGATGTTTTGAATATGTTCATTTGTTATTATGAAGATGTGGTTACTTATTGTGTGCGTTATTAGTGGTTTACTAAAATAAATCTCACAGAGTGACTGGAATGGCGCATTGGAAGGCCTTAGCATATTCTGCTCTGCTTGCGAGCATCGGAAAGACAGACATAAAATTGTGTGTCCGTTTAAACTTCTGCATAAAAGAAAAACTCTTTCCTTATTAAACAGTTGAAGCGGCAGGAACTACCTTTATTTTGTTGTTGCCTATGTAACCGTCTTGTTCCATTGCATGAATAGCTTTGACAACCGAGGTGATATCACAGTATTGGATGAAGGCGAACGGCGCTGGCGTCTCCCGATTTTTGATGTCAACGTCCTAAAAATGATACCAGCATTCAGAAAAAAATCCAACCTTCAGCCGCAATTGATGCTCGCATACCAGCACACATCCAAACCGTTCGAAAACCTCGCGTAGCTCTTCAGGAGTTATTCTATTTTCAAGGTTGCCAACGTAAAGAGTACGTGACGATTTTGAGTGGTATTGGTCAATGTCCTTCTCCAACGGTCTGCGTTCGTTATCGTCTCCATCCAGGCCAGCTGATGCGAGCTCAACGGCGATCTTGCTTCCGAAAAACATGTCGTTGTTCGACGTTTCAGTTGCCTTCTGTGCATCGGACGACCTGAAGGAAAAATGCAATGCTGTAACAAGTTTAAACTGATTAAGTAAAGAAACGTTACCTGCGAAAAGTGACCAGCGCGTACCGTTCTGCCCCTTCACCGATAACCTTCACCGAAACTACCTTTCCAAATTTCTTGTACGTGAAAAATAACCCGTCTTTAATACTGGAGTCAGATGATCGTAACGGCAAGTTGCGAACGACAATCGCAGTTGGCTTGCACTGGGCGCTGTAGGTTCCTGTTGTCGAGCTGCTAACGGGACAAAGCTCTTTCAGAGAACTTCCGTGTGATGACGAATCCCGTTCGTCATTTGCAGCTACGTACGAGCGGCAAAACGGTCGACTTTCTGACGAGTAGCGAGTGGAAGTTGACGCAGCGAAATTTCCTCTAGCTTCTCGACTGCCGTGGCTTAAAAACAACGCGTCTCTCAACCTTATGCACAACATAAAATCGAATCCGAAATAAAGTTGAATCTTTCATTAATTTAAACCGTTCACTCCATTGCAGCATTTACAGCACTAAGTCAAATCTGAGAAAGCAACGCAAATGCAACAAGCAAGAAATCAAACTTCCATGTCAAAAGAAAAAGAGAAGCTTGTAACGGGCGGAATGTCAACCTCTCGCACTTCCACAGCTGCACGCTAGGGAGTATTTCTTTCAAAAGGCTAGCGAAATTGTCCATTATTGTGTTATCAGCCTGGAGTGACGTACTGCCTTTTTAACAATGCGCCTACAATCGAGTAACCACTACAGGAAGTAGCGTTTTGTTTCCTTCTAGCGAAGTGGTATTCATTTACCTACCTCATCAGGATGAAAGGTGAGCTACGGCAAGGGTCTGAACCCATGATTTCTCAGGAGCCTGTACTACAGATTCCATACGCAGCATGCTTACCTAGGGCTTTGAGAACTATCGGATGAGTAATGGGACGGTGTCCGAGTGTCACTGCCAGAAACGCCATTTCGACCGCTCCCATCTGAATTTTCTGACCAGTGACGAATTCGGCGATGTGAGCTACCAAGCCTTAAAAGAACATAAATTAAAACTGATAACCAGAAATAATGACAGCAACACGCATACGGAATAACGCATCACTTGATAAATGCAATTTATCTGCAATTTCTACGGTGTGGGTAAAAAAAACAAATCAATGACTAGATGAATAAAAAACTGAGCATTCACAAGCTCGCAAAGACATTTAAATCATTAAACTTCAGGAAAAAATTGCGTAAAGTTGATTTCGCTTTACTAATTCATTAGCCTTATGTCTTACACCACCGTATTTGAATCACGCCTGCAAAGTATTGCATATTAATGCACCAAAGCAAACCTACAATGATACGGTATTTCATTATTGAGACAAACATATTGGAAACCCAACTCGCTTGAAACACTCTCAGTAATTTATCACTTGTACATTTTAATGAATTTCATCGAAGCATGCATTCCAATGCAATTCAAATCAAACAAGCAAAACAGAGCATACCAACTGGACATTATCCAGTTAGCAAGATAAATTTTTATATCTGTCCGCGGTACTTCTGCAATAGAGCCGAGTGTCTTACAGAGGAAGTTTCTACGGGAGATTCAGGAAATGCCATGTTCCGTACCCTTTTCAATAGACTAAAACAGAAGAGTGAGTTCTCTACAATGTCTACGTATATAATTCAGTAAACCAGATATCACCCAAAATTGTGCGAGGAAAATATCAGTATTTAAAAAACATTATACCTGCATAAAATTTTTCTATCATTTAAATAGAATAAAAT